GGACTGTTAATCCAGAGGCCCAGATAACGTTCTGGGGACCTGGGTTTGAATCCCGCTACGGCAGATAGTGGGATTTGAATTCAATAAAAATATCTGGAATTAACAATCTAATGATGACCATGAATCCATTGTCGATTGTCAGGAAAAACCCATCTGGGTCACTAATGTACTTTAGGGAAGGAAACTGCCATCCTTACCAGGTCTGGCCTACATGTGACTCCAGACCCACAATATGGTTGACTCTTAACTGCCCTCTGGGCAATAAATGCTGCCTAGCCAGTGATGCCCTCATCCTGTGAATGAATAAAGAAAAGGTGCATCTGCAACAGGCAGTTCAATGAAGATTAGGTCAAAATTGTTATCCTTCTTGTTGGGTCCTTCACCACCTGTAGCTACGTCCTTTAGGACTTGATCAGCTTATTCAGCATTGGTGCTGCCAAGCCACTCTTAGTGATGGATATTTAAGTCCCTCACCTAGAGTATATTCTGTGCCCTCAGTGATATTGAACATGGATGAGTACTGCTTCATTGGCTGTGAAGGCGATAGTATGTGGTAATTGGCAGGAGGTTTCCTTGCCTATGTTTGACCTGATGCTATGAGACTTCAGAGTCAAACTTGAAAGTTCCTAAGGTGTCTCCTTCCTGACTGAATACCACTGTACTTCTATTAGCATGCCAGGACATATCCAGGATCAGGGATGGTGTTGCCTGAGACATTGTCTCTAAGGTGTCATTCCATCAGTATGATGATGTCAGCTTGACTAGGCTGTGAGACAGCTTTCCTGATTTTGGTGCTAGCAACGCCCCACCCCAGTTTTTTTAAAAGATTAGAATCTCTACAGGCCATTTGGCCCATCGGGTCTACACCGACCCTCCGAAGAGCATCTGACCCAGACCCAGACCCAGGCCTCTATCCCTGTAACCCTGCACCTACCATGGCAAATCCACCTAGCCTGCACATCCCTGGGCACTATGGGACAATTTAGCATGGCCGATCCACCTTAACCGGAGCAGACACAAGGAGAATGTGCAAAGTCCACACAGATAGTCGTCCAGGGGTGGAATCGAATCTGGGTCCCTGGTGCTGCGAGGCAGCAGTGCGAACCACTGAGCCAATCAACAAATGCTCATTCTTAGACTTTCACTAGATTCAAATTTCAACATCTCCTGTGGTGGTATTCAGACCTGGGTTCCCAAATCACTACCTGTGTCACTGGATTGCTACAAGGAAAAGACTAAAAACTGTGGAAGCTGGCAACTTGAAACAAAGCCAGAGAGTGCTCAAGCAACTCAGCAGGTTTGGCAGCATTTTAGAGAGAAACAGAGTTAATATTTTGAATCCAGCCTTTAAGGTTTTTATTTCTGAATTACTATTTAAGTGACATTACCACGACACCATTATCTCCCCACATGTGTGTGTCAATGTGTGTGTTTATATCAGTGTATATGTTTCAGTTTATATCTATGTGTGTGTGTGTATTTATGAGTGTGGATAATTACATCCCAGTGTCAACATATTTCTATCCAATTGTCTGAGTCTATATCAATAAGCAACAAGGATATGTAACAACTGCACAGGAATACCTGTACCCTTCTACAGTTAAGCAGGACTAGTGGATGTTACTTGTTGCAACATGAATGTTTGCATCAAATGACTTTTAAATCTAATCACTAAATCTAATCTGATAACTGAAAACCAAATATTGCAGCAGGCATGTGTCAGTTTAGGCTTAGAAATACATACATAGAAATACAACAAAATTAGAGTGCGGAAACAGACCACTCAGTCCAAATGCTCTAGGTTGCTGTTTATGCTCAACTGAAGCCCACTCCCACCCCAAACACCCTCCCCTCATCTTACCTGATCAACATTTCCTCCTATTCCTTTCTCGCTCTTGCATTTCTGCTGCTTCCCCTTAAATGCATCCATGATATTCACTGCGGCCACTCCCTCTGAAATCTCACCTGGAGTATTGTGTACAGTTTTGGTCACCTTACTTGAGGAGGGATGTAGTTGCAATAGAGGTATTTAAGGAGTGGTTCATTAGATGGATTCCAGAAATTAGGGGTTTGTCTTCTGAAGAAAGACTTACACAGTTTAGGTCTATACTCTGAGTTTAGAAGAATGAGAGGAGATCTAATTGAGGTATATAAGATGCTAAACTGGATGGACAAAGTAGATGTAGAGACAGTGTTTCCTCCCTTGGGGCAATCCAGAATGAGAGGTCATAGTTTTAGACTAAGGGCTGGAAGATTTAAAACCACGATGAGAAGAAATTACTTCTCTCAAAGGGTTGTAAATCTGTAGAATTCACTCCCCCAGAATTCAGTGGACGCTCAGCCTTTTCAATGTTTGGCCTATTCCATTGCTTTTTGTCTGTCTTTCTCCTGTCCTCATTTACTAGGATGGGGCCCTGGATCCCCATTGGATTGGCTCATGCTTTTAGGCAAAGATCTGCAGTGATTTGCCATTGCCTCCTACAGAGTGGCTGACCTGGAGACTGTCCTGCTGTCACCACCAGCCAACAGATACATTGGAAGGATTTATTGACTGGCAATGAACCTGTGTGGCCATATTACCAATGCACCTTCCATGGCCACCAAGTACTGGAGTGGGACTTGAATCTGGAACCTCTGACCCAGAGGTAGGGGCAGTGCCCACTGCACCACAAGATCTCCCTGCAGCTCCCCTTTGTATTCCAATTAGTTTTTCTTCATTGATTGTTTTAATTTCTTCCCTCACCTTTGTCCCTTAATTTTCAACTATTCACGGACTGTTTCTTGTGTCTTCTACTATGAACCCAGGACAAAATATTGTTTAGGCTTTTCTGACAGGAACAAGTTCTGAGGAAGGGTCACCAGACCCGAAACATTAACTCTGACTTCTCTTCACAGATGCTGCCAGACCTGCTGAGCTTTTCCAGCAACTTCTGTTTTTGTTCCTGATTTACAGCATCCGCAGTTCTTTCAATTTTTATAAGTTTCAGTTTCATCTCTTTGTGAATCTTCTATGTTCTCCAGTGTGCTTCTAATCCATTTTTTCTGATTTGGAAACCAGAACTGAGAACAGCCAGCGAAGTACACTGAAGTAGTTCTGAAGAAGCGTCTCAAAACGCTAACTCTGTTTCTCTCTTCACAGATGCTGCCAGACCTGCTGAGTTTCTCCTGCACTCTCTGTGTCTGTGACAGTGAAGTACACTTTCTGAAATGTGGTCACTGTTGAAATTTAAGTAAAACAGCAGCCAATCCCTAGTGTACCACTCTCACCTCTGTGCTCAAGGTTGTAGTTCAAGCCATTGTAGAGTTCTGAGCATACAATACTGATGACTCCAGTCTGCTACTTAGGGAAATGCCACTGCTCAGTTGAAATGAGAAACCAAGGTCATTTCTGCCCTCTTGTTTGTTTGTGCATTTGATTTATTGTAATCATGTGTACCTTAGCAGAGTGACAAGCTTTGTTTGCCAGCAGGACAGGCAGATCATAGCAAGCAAGGACGTACAGATCATAGAGTGCTTAGAGCGAGGCATACAGGGCTACACTGCGCAAAGCAAGATCAACATTATGTGAAATTAGAGAGGTCCATTCAGCAGTCTAATAACGGCAGGGAAAAAGCTGTTTCAAGCTTCTGTATCTTTTGCCTGATGGAAGAGGTTGAGAGCATTACCAGAGTTGCTGGGGCGGGGGGGGGCCTTGATGATGTAGGCAGCCTTTCTGCAGCAATGAGAAGTGTAAATGGACTCCATGGATGGGGGGATGGCTTCCATGATGGTCTGGGCTGTGCACACTTCTGTAGTTTCTTACGGTCCTGGGCAGAATTAAGAAGTTCCCACGGCACTACTTCATAGAAGAGTAGGGGAGCTGTGCTCATATAAGAAGAGATTAGATAGGCTTCGATTGTTTTCTCTAGAGCAGAGAAGACTGAGGAGGAGTACATGATGGTGGGGTATAAGATTATGAGGGGTGTGGACATGGTGAGTAGAGAGCAGCTGTTCCCCTTGGTTCAGGGGTCAGTCATGAGAGGGCATAGCTTTAGGGTAAGGGCAGAAGATTCAGTTTGAGAAAAAGCTTTTCCACTCTGAGGGTGGTGGGAATCTGGAATGTGCTGCCTAGGGAGGTAGTGGAGGCTGGAAACCTTATAACCTTTAAAAAGATGTTTGGATGAGCACTTGAAATATCATAACATTCAAGGATATGGGACAAGTGCAGGAAAATGGGATTAGCCCCCTTTTAGTGGTAGTTATTGTCGGTGCAGACTCGATGGGCCAAAGGCCCTTTTCTGCGCTGTAGGAATCTATGAATCATTTTGGCCATTATTTATCCTTCAACCAATGTCACTAAAAACAGATTCTCCGGTCATTGTCGCGATGCTGCTTGTGGGAGCTTGCTGTGTACAAAACGGCTGTGGCTTTTCCTAAATTGGAGCAATGACTACACTTCAAAAAATAATTCCGTTGCTCTGGGAAGCCTTGTGATTCTAGACTCAATGCTGTAGAAAACATGATATTTAACTCCATTGAATATTTATTAACGGAGATCTTGTGGCACAATGGGGAAGCTTCCCAGCTTGAACCAAAAGCTCTGGGTTTGACTCCGACTCCAGGGCTGCATTCAGCAGGTGGACAAACAGGTCAGGAGTCAACGCAAATGCTTCCAACACACAGCAGTGGCAAGCAGGAAGGGTCAGAGAGATTCCCAGTCAGTTGTTCTTGACATGAAGAGTTACCCCTCAAACTGCAGCTTCTTGGCTTGTCGAGGAAAGAACAATCAATGGAAAGCAGTATTTTCCAATGTCTGTCACCTGTGTCTTTAGATGAGGGAAGTCTTCTCAGCCTGAAGTTGTGAGGAAGGTTCAGTGGGCCCGAAACATTGACCCTGCTTTCTCTCCACAAACCTGCTGAATTTTTCCAGCAATATTTGGTGGGGCTTTTTTTGGTCTTCTAAATCTAGTATTGATCCCGCTGACTTGACATTCATGTCCAATTTCTTTCTCTCCCCAAAGATGTACACCGTTGCGAGCAGTATGAACCCCGGCCTGGGCGCCATGAACTCGATCAACAGCTACATGAGCATGAACTCCATGGGCTCCGTCGGAAACCTTTCGCCCGTCTCGCTCAACATGTCCTACACCAACCTCAGCCCGCCTCTCTCAGTGCTGCCTGGCACCGTCAGCCCCATAACCAACGGACTCTCCTCGATGCCAAGCTCCATGAGCCCCGGTGTGGGTCCGACAGGGGGTCAGACCGCCCCCGCCAACTCGCTGTCCCCGTACCAGCCAATGGGCCAGACCTTGGGTCCCTTGGCACTGTCGCCGGGCCTGAGCAGGGGCAAGGACTCCAAGCCTTACCGCCGCAACTTCAGCCATGCCAAGCCTCCGTACTCCTACATCTCCCTGATCACCATGGCCATCCAGCAGGCCTCCAATAAGATGCTGACCCTGAACGAGATCTACCAGTGGATCATGGACCTCTTCCCTTACTACAGGGATAACCAGCAGCGGTGGCAGAACTCCATCCGACACTCGCTCTCGTTCAACGACTGCTTCGTCAAGGTGCCACGCTCCCCGGACAAACCGGGCAAAGGCTCATACTGGGCCCTGCACCCGGACTCGGGCAACATGTTCGAGAACGGCTGCTACCTGCGCCGCCAGAAGCGCTTCAAGTGCCCGAAGGAGAAGCTCTCGCCGCGGGAAGCGGCCTCCTCCTCCTCTTCCTCCTCCGCCGCCTCAGCCTCGGCCGCCATTGACGGCGCAGCTAAGAACTCGAGCCCCAGCTCCGAGGACGCCGAGTCCAGTCGGTGCGACACCCCGCCAGGCACCGAGGAGAGGAGGACCCTCACTGAGCTCAGCTGCCAGAGGGCGGGCGCCTCCTCTTCGGCCTCGGGGCCTTCACCGTCGCCTGCCGCGTTACCTCAGAACATGGCCGCCGCCCACCACCACCATCATCATCATCATCAACAACAACAACAACAGCATCACCATCACCACCACCACCACCTCCTCCCGCTGCTGCCCGACCTCCAGACTGACCTGAAGATGGACCCTCACTACAGCTTCAACCACCCCTTCTCGATCACGAACCTGATGTCTTCGGAGCAGCCCCACAAAATGGACGCCAAGCTCTTCGAGTCGCCCACTCACTACAACAGCAGCAGCAACAACAACAACAACAAATACAACAACAACAACAACAACTCCTACAACAACAACAACACGCTGCTCGGCAAAAGTGGCTTCGAGGCGCCCAATGTCGCCAACGACCCCGGCTCCTATTACCAGCTCATGTACAACAGGTCGGTCCTCAACGCTTCATAAATCCGACCCCATCCTCCATCACCTTATATCTGTCTTAAGCAAGCAAGGGAGAAAATTGAGGGGGTGAGGGGGTTGGCTTCTCGAAAGGTCCCTCTTAAGCTCGTCCTCCTTGCCCCTTCCATCACTGAAGGCCTTTCTCTTGTCACACTGCTTTCTTTGCAACCTTTCTTTGTGTGTGCGTTTGTGACTGTGTGTGTGTGTATATGTGTCTGTATGTCTGATCGTGTGTGGGCATGTCAGTTTGTGTGTTTGTCTATCTATCTGTGTGCATATGTCTATCTGTGTGTGTGTGTATGTCTGTCCGTGCCTGTGTGTGTGTGTATGTC